AAGTAAGATCCCTTTCAAGCTCAAATGCTCCCTCCAAGCAATCAGAGAGAGTTGGCTTCTTTTCATTGCAAGAATAAATGGTACTATCATCAGCAAACAATGCCACTCTAGATGTCAGAATATCTGAAAGATCATTAATGTAAATGAAAAAGAGTATAGGGCCAAACAAAATACCTTGAGGAACTCCTGAGGTTACAAAATAAGAAGAAGAGTGCTGTCCATCAAGCACAAATTTTATACTACGATTGGAAAGGAAGGATTTAATAATCGCAAAGATGGTTCCAAAAACACTGTAAAAAAAAAGTTTATGAAGAAGACCAGCAGGCCAAACTTTATCAAACACTTTAAAAATATCAAGAGCAATGACCTTACCACTTTTATCTAACGCACGATAAAACCTATCGGTTTATTACTGTTACCTATTCAACGAGAAGTCTAAATCCATACTGATGATCAGGAAGTACGTTATTAGATTCAAGATGAGATTAAATGTTTGTTAAATAAAGATTCAAAAACATTGCTTGGAATAGGAAGAAGACTAATGGGACAGTAGTTAGATGAATCAAATCACTCTTTAGAATTTTAAAAAATAGGGATAACAGATGCTGCTTTCCAGCAGGCCGGAAAACAAGACTCAGATAAGCACTTGTTGAATAGTTTTGAAAGGATAGATGACAGCTCCGAAAAACACTTCTGCAAGATAACTGTCTGGGCCACAAGCTGTAGAAGAATCTAAGCAGGAAATGGATGCCAAATCCATGCCAGCCTGAACACAAAGTTATGCAAGAAGCACATATGTCAACATGAAGACAAAAGAAATCTATCCAAAGACAAAAGAAATCTATCCAAAGAAAATCACAGAAAGAGTTCTAGTCAGCTTTAAGGTAGTTGTAAGATATACAATGATAGGGAAACTCTGATGATAAAGAAGAATGACATAAAGGTTTAAAGAAATCAAACTGTGATCAGAGGCACCTAAGGGTGAATGTTGAGAAACTGAGCACTGACTAAGTTCAGAAAAAACAAATAAGTCTAGTTGAGAATGTAAATGATTGTCTGGAAGGGTTGTCTGGAAAGCGAGTCGGAAAGTTGACTATTTAAGTTAGGGATTGAGAAAGGCAAATGCTGTGGGCTTTTATGCCTGCAGAGTCACTGACATTAGAGCCAAGCCATTCAGAGTGATGAACATTAAAGTCACCGACAACAACAATATTGGCTGATGGATAATGAGAGAGGGCTTGGTCAATATGATCAGAAATAACATCAAAAAGAGTGCAGTCTTGAGATGAAGGAGAGCAATAAAGAACAAAGAGAAAGGTGATAGAGTGAAGTGGTGCTAAACGAAAGCACATAAAAAAGTAGTCTGTGGATTCAAACCTAGTTTGCCAACAAATGGGTGAATTCTTACAAATGTAAATGCCAAGGCCAAGCATGAGATTATTGGAGTCTTTATGAATTAAAAATAAATAACCATCAACACTAAGATTGTAAGATTAGACAGCTGAACTCAAATTAGTCTCAACAGTAAAAATACAGTAAAAATGTAATATATATATATATATATATATATATATATATATATATATATATATATATATATATATATATATATATATATATATATATATATATATATATATACATATATATATATATATATATATATATATATATATATATATATATATATATATATATATATATATATATATATATACATATATATAATTTTACATGAAAATTACACGAGACCTACATGAAGTTATTTTTATGAAAGATATATATATATATATATATATATATAAATATATATATATATCAGGCCTTGCGATAAAGCGTCGGGCGATGTGAATTTTACGTTGTCCAAGAGCGATTTTGCGTGTAGCTAGGGCTATTTGCATCGAGCAAAAAAATTTTTGTTTGAGTATATTTCAAAATATTTTTGAGCGGAATTTTAATGAAGTAATTTACGATTATTTTAACATTTAATAAAGTATTTTAAAAACCGCACGCAGTTGAAATAAAAGTTTAAATTAAGAAAAATTAAATATGCTCATTATTTACAAGTAGAAAAAATTCAGATTAAAAAAAAAGTTTAAATCTTTTAAGCTAACATTTTAATAAAATTATTCAGCAATAGCAAAGTTGTCGATAAAATTGAACAAAAATACTTTCTTTTAGTTTTAGATTTTAAACTTAAATAATTATTTTACGGGGGTTTGTTAGGTTTTAAAATTATTCCATAGATTTAAAAATATTTATTAACTGTTAGACGTATTTTAAAGTATTTAAGAGTAATTTCGAGGAAACATTTTAAAAATTGGTGAGTGCAAAAAAAAAAAAAAAAAGGATTAATATTAAAACGTATTCTACTTAATTCAATAAAAAAGTACAGTTATTAAAATTTTTGTAAAAAGTAACTCAAAAAAATTACTTAAATAATAATGATCGCTTTTATGTTAAAAGTTACCGAAACTCAACGAAGCGTGCTCAAGAACAGCTGCTGAAAAATAAAACGTCAATAGTTTTTCGAATAATTTTTAATAATAATTTTAAAGAACAATTTTTTCGCTGAATTATTTCTTTTATACCTATAGGATTTTTATTCTAACATTTTATTTTATTTTACTAGAAATAAAATTCCTTGTTAACATTAAAAATCTAATCAAAACGTTCGTTTAAGTTTTTTAGTAATACGAGTGATTGTGCTTATCAACCCCTTTATGAAAATAAATAAAAATAAATAAATATTATATAAAATCGCTTGTAAAAATACTAGCTATTGCACAGTTTTTAATTGTACAATATTAAAATTTTCAGTTTATTACTCGCTGACTTTTTAAAAAGAAAAAATAATTATTTGAAAAACTTTAAAAAACATATTTTAGAAAAAAAAAATCAAATTTTAGCATATTTTATAATCTTTTTTAAATTTAAGTTATAATGTTTTTTATTCGTTTAGTATAGACAAAACGTGACAAACGTCGAGAAAATAAACAAACGTTTTTACATTTTAAAAAACGAAACATTCCAAAACATTTTTTAAATAATAACATTTCTACTTAAACAATTTAAAGTAGTTTTGCGGTAATTAAGCAAATTGGTGCAGTTAATGTCGATAAATATGAAAAGCAAATAAAAAGAATTTAATGACGTCAAAAATCACGTTGTGCTTATGCGTCGCGCAGTTCTTATTCATCGCAAGGCCTGCTAGGGTAAAAAAGGCAAAGTACTATTCCATTATTTTAGATTGTTACCCAGACATTTCGCACAAAGAACAAATAAGCATTATTCTGTGATCAGTAACATCTACTCTTGGAATAAGTATCGACATTTCTGAAAATTTCTTTGGATATCTCACAGTAAATGAAACCACTGGAAAAGGGCTTTATGATGCATTTTTAATTTAGGCAAAAGATTGGGATTTAAATATTTTAGACAGTCGAGGTCAATCTAACGATAATGGTGCTAATATGAAAGGAAAAAGGTAGAAGGTGTTCAAGCAAGGTTTCTGGAAATGAATCCTAAGGCCTTAATCCTATGTTCCTTGTAAAGAATCCTATGTTCCTTGTGTAAACCATTCACTCAATCTTGTTATTGTTGATGGTGCACTGTCATCTATCAGTGCAATTTCTTATTTTAGTGTTCTTTCAAGGTTATATACACTCTTTTCATCGTCTCCTCGATGGGAAATTTTAAAACCCTGCACTGCAACTTCTGTCAAACCACAATCATATACCAGATGGGAAAGTAAAATAAACTGTGTTAAACCACTTCGCTATTATTTAAAAGAAATCTTAGAGGAACTTGAAAGATTGGAAGAACATGCCTTAGAAAAGAGAGATAGGGCAACAGCCACAGAAGTGCAAACGCTGACAGAATATATTAGAACATGCCCTTTCTTATTATCAATCATTAATTAGTATGTTTTATTTCAAATCAACAAATTAAGCTGCTTCAGTCTCTTGCAGTATCTCTCAACATCTTAGCTTGTGAAATAAAGGCAACAAATTCATTTCTTTATGAGTCTCGTGAAAATCGATTTTCTGACGCATGTATTAAGGCGTCAGAAATTGCAGAATTATTGGACATTGAAAGGGTTTTTCCAATAGTGCGTTCACGAAAAAAAAAATCAATTTATTCATACGAGTGCGTTAATCACACTTGGCAACCTGAACTCAGTATAAAGCAGATTTTTTTTTGCCACTAATTGATATGTCAATTGCATCAGTAAAAGAGCGTTTTGAACAGATCAGCATTGTCACAAAGCTTTTTGACTTTCTTTACCAATCCGAGAGTCTCATCAAAGCTTTCCATTAAAATTCTCTGTCTGTTGCATATTGCAAAAGTTTGTTGCATATTGCTGTATTATATCATTAAGCTTTATATTGCAAAAGTTTGAAAATAAAGCTTAATGATATAGATTCAGAGGATTTAGAAATAGAGTTAAAATCATTTGTCATTGTTATAAAGGAGGAAAAAAATGTTTTTTTTAAATCTGCACATGATTTCCTAACCTACATTATACAACCTATCTTATACTGCTGAGTTAGGTGAGCATGATGATATCATACTCACCTAACATCAAATAGCCTGCTGCTGGGGGCTTCAGTACATACATCGACTGACAAATAGCCTGACTTGCTACATCGTGCTGTGGGTTTGGTATGGGTCAGCAACCTTTTCATTCATTATTCTTCGTTTTAACTCATTTTTTTCTAAAAACGCTCACTAAATGAGTGCTGCTACATCGACTGAGGGTTTGGTATGGGTCAGCAACCTTTTCATTCATTATTCTTTGTTTTAACTCATTTTTTTCTAAAAACGCTCACTAAATTAAGGCTAGCAAAAAAAGTGAGCAATTGCGCATATAAATATGCTATAGTAGATATGTATATATATATATATATATATATATATATATATATATATATATATATATATATATATATATATATATATATATATATAATTTTACATAAAAATTACATAAGACTTACATGAAGTTATTTTTATGAAAGACTTCAAACTGTAAACTTCTCTTGTATTTTTCAAAATCAATAGTAGATCCACGATCAATAAACACCTTGCAATTCTCATCTACTATGAAGAAACCATCTTTTGATTTTTGATTTTCTTTATTAGATGTTACAACAGTAATTTTTTCAACTACCTCTTCTGACCAAAATTTTAATACATTTCCAATAGTTTTGTCGCTATTTAAAAGCTCTTTGATACAACTGTAACTCTTAACAAACACAGTTAAATATGAGTTTGATCTAGAAATAGCATCCACAAGAACATGACGAAGAAAAATCTCTTCTGGGCTTACAAACACAATTGCAGATTCAGATTCCGCTCCTGAAAACCCTTTGCAGTCAGTTACAAGAATGTCCAGTTCACTTCTTAAATTATTATGAATTTTAAATTTTGCCTCTAATGTTGGAGAGTATTTCTGCATATGTGGTGAATATGTTACTGCTTTAAAATTTTTAATGTTATCTATTGCATATGCAACAGATTGCACTTCTTCGATATTGTTGCATATAACCACAGTTTTTCTTAATACATTAAAACAAATTTTTTCTAATACAATGGATAACAATTTAACAGATTGCTTGTCTGTTATATCATGAAAAGGTAAATACACAACCTTGGGTTTTTCTCCTTTAATTGAGTGACCTATTTTACCAGATTTGAAAACATATTCAGTCTCCATATGACATTTTGGATCAATATTACTAATACTTTTTGTTATTAGCTTTGCCATGTAATCTAAATCATTGTCATGAAAATCATTAAAAATTGTATCAATAATCTTGTTTTCTATTTTCTCTGGAGACTGATCTGATTTATAGTCTGTAAAGTTTTTAACAGTTTTGCTAGTAACAGTTTTGTTAGTAATTTCAACAGTTTTGTTAGTAATTTTTGAATCTGTTGAGTCTTTAAATTTATTAACAGTTTCATCATTAGTAATATTTGATGCAAAACTGTTATCTTTTTTAACTATGACAGATGCATAATTAATATCTTTATTTACCTTAATGGTGTCAATTAAGTCATAATATGGCGTGTCATCTATTTTTTCCTCATCTTTTACATAGTTTTCTATAAAATTAGGTGTTACATTTTTAGAATTATTTCTAGAATCATATGTCAACATATGCAAACTTTGAAAATCTTTCTCTTCCTCAATTTGCTTATCTTTAACTCTAAACAAATTATTTTCTTTACCTTCTTCCAATATTTTAAAGTTAGTGTTTGGAATGTTTAAAACACTTTTTGTTTCACAAATAGTTTTTTGAGTAATATCTATTAATAGTTTATTGCATTCCGTAACTCTCATTGATTTATTTAGAGATATGACCTTCATTCCTATTATTTCTTCTTGAAAGTAATTTCTTTGTATTGTACGCTTTTGTTTATTTGCTATCAATTCTCGATTCTTTGTAATACTCTCAGGAATAAAAACGACTAAAGAATCTTTTAATATAGATTCAAACAAATGTTTAAGTTGAGCTGCATCTTCTTCTTTAACATACTCTTCAGAAAGTTCTTCAAGTAAAAAACATACTTTGTTACCGTTGGTGCTCGCTAAATACTCTAGCAATTTTGGTATTGAAATGTAATTGCTTGAAGTGCTTTTGTTTTTGCACATTTTTTTCCACAACTCATACAAATTATCACAGACAACCTTAACATTTGAAGATTTCTCTATACTGTCAACAAACTCTTTCATATGGCATTCATACAATGAAAAATGGTTACAACATATATAAAATAGGGTCAAAGGATTTTGTGACTTATGAGAAATACAATTTTTAACAATCTCTTTTCCTACTATAGATTTACCTGAACCATATCCTCCAGTGATGATTTTTTTCAAAGCTTTGTCATTGATTGCATTTCTTTGTTCAACATTAAGAACCAATGATTGTATCTGTTTTTGAGTATCTGATTCTAATGTGGGATAGCAATGGTCAACTATAGACATTGACATCATAGTTAAACTGATGAGTTTTTTAAATAGTACTTCACTATTATTTTTTGGATTTACTTTTTTAATGCAGTAAGCTACAACTAATCTCCACCAAGTTTCAAAATTCTCATCTTCAATGTCATCTTTACATAGAAACAAAATTTTATCTAAATCAAAATCCTCTGAGAAGTGATAAAATAACTCTTCTTTCAAATGTTTACGATCATGTAAAGGTAAAACTACAACTCCCAAAATAATTAGTTTATTAGTATCAATTAGAGGATTGTTAACATTAACAAATAATATGACATCATTTAAACACTGTTCAGATTCTAGCTTGAGGCAATATATTGAAGTAGCAACACGAGCAATTATAACAAGGTTGAGTTCAGAGACAAAAATTGTTATTCTATTTTCATCATTATAATTAGTAAACTTTTCAACATTGCACTTTAAAAGAGATGCATGATAACGTAAACGGTAACCAGGTAGTACAGCACGTACACCTGTACAATTGACAGTAAATATTTCAATAAACTTGGAAGCAACTAAATTATCATTGTCAGCAATAGAAGAAGTGACATAAATAACATCATTACAATCAGAAAAATTTCTATTAAAATAATCTAATCCAATTAACTCTATTGATTTATTATTAGGTATTTTATCTAAACAAATATTGTTTGTCTCTCTCCAATCCAAAGAATTTGTTGTTCTTACATTTTGTCTAAACCCCTTGTTGGAAATTGGTTCAGGTGTTGCAACACACAACCCATTATAGATTAACTCATAGTTGCAATTACCTAGTAAAAAGTAAAATGAAATAAAATTAACATATATATTCAAAAAAATTAGTTATAAAAACAATATATTTAAAACTATATTTAAAAACTGTTTATTCAAATTAGTACTAAAGTTTTCAAAATAATCATAAAAAAAAAGTAGGAAAATAGGTCAAAAATATCAAAATTAACTTGAAAAAAGAAAAAACAGCCTTTGAGTTTTAATTGAAAATTAAAATGTAATTTAAATTGTAAAAATTTATGATTTGAGATATTTTATTTTTAATTATAATAAAAAAAATAATTATAAATTATACCTATAATATTAACTGAACAAAAATGTTGAAAGAATGTTTTTTTTAAACCTTGAAATAAAAACTTAAAATTAAGTGTTTCATTTTCAAATAATAACTTTTCTACTTTCACAAACAATGTCGCATTCTTTTTTTTTGTTAAATAATATTGAAATGCTTGTTTCTTATTATTAATAGCTGTCCAATTATTAACAACACTGTTTAATTGGAATTCGACTTCGCTACAAATTTCATCTTCAAGTAAATCAAACTTAAAAACACAACCATGAGGAATTCGACATTCAATAGTGCTGAAAAAAATAATAAAAATAAATTAAAATGTTAAATATAAATATGTACATATATATATAGTACACACAGAAACAATATATATGTGTATACACATAAATTGCATTTCGAGTAACCTTTAATATTGAATATGTTGTTAACTCCTTATTAGTGTCTGACGGATTTATCCGTCTCTGAAAGGTGTAGCTCACTATGTGTCTAATGGATATCTCCATTTAATGAAACTGTTGTGCTATTTATATTTGATGGTTATTTAATGAAACTGTTGTGCTATTTATATTTGACAATTATTTCCGCATTCTGGAACTGTTGTACTATTTTTGTGTGACGGATTACTATTTTTCTGTTTCACAGATAAGCTAAACAAAAGATCATATTTTATACGCTTGATGTTACTTCGTTCAACAATTTTATTTGGTAACTTATAACAGAAATATGGTCTAGATTTTATACTCTAAAGTACTTTTAAAATATTGCTAAAAGCTTGAAATTGTGGCATGTATACTTTACAATGGATTTTTATGGCATAAGTACGAAGGGTTGTAGCCCTTGGACTTATATTTATGTTTTTGTTTTTTCTCTAAACAAATATATTCAGTTTTTCTTAAATTAACAAAAGTGAAAAGTTGTATGCACTTGTTAAACTTGCTAATCTTCTTTTTGCTTTTGACTCCCTTAATAAAACCTTACCTTCCTCTATTACAACCTTCTTCACTGAAACTCAATTTATACATTCAAACTTAACTAGAAACTTCTTTTTTTTATTTTTTTCTCTAAACAAATATATTCAGTTTTTCCTAAAATAAAATTGACAGTGTCTTAACCTAATTTACTTAATATAACTATATAATATGTATTTGTTAAATTTTATGCATATAATATAATTATAATGATATACTAAAAATATTTATAATGTAAAATATTTTAATTCAAGAGTTTGTATTATAATCTAAATCGGCACAGTTTTTTCTGAATTTTATTATTTTAGTTTTTAATATTGCGAGAACCAAAAAGTAAAAGCTTTGTGTATGCAGAAATATTTAAATGTAGAAATAGTTTACTGGTTGCATTTTAGACAGTTTTAATCACATTTATACTTGAGATTTCGTTTTTACGATTTTATTATCGGAAAAATATAAAAAAAGTTTTTTTTAGATTATAATGATGTTACATGTTTAACCCTCGATTATAATATTTTTAGATGAGTAAAAAATGTCAGAAAAATATGGGAAGAGTTTTAAATGAACATTGTAATAAAATGTCATATTGTAGAATGGTAGGAAGAATAAGACTAAAAGATACTGATATTGAAGTTTTAATGCAAAGGATTGGATATACTTTCAAATGAAATGAGAAATGTTGTTACCATGAAAAATATTTCTAGATATGAAGAACTTAAAAAATACTCTTATGATTCATTTAAAGTCCACAAAAAAAAATCATCAACAGATTGTGTTATCAACGGATTGTGTTATCAACGGATTGTGTTATCAACAGATTGTGTTATCAACGGATTGTGTTATCAACAGATTGTGTAATCAACGGATTGTGTTATCAACAGATTGTGTTATCAACGGATTGTGTTATCAACGGATTGTGTTATCAACGGATTGTGTTATCAACGGATTGTGTTATCAACGGATTGTGTTATCAACGGATTGTGTTATCAACAGATTGTGTTATCAACGGATTGTGTTATCAACAGATTGTGTTATCAACGGATTGTGTTATCAACAGATTGTGTTATCAACGGATTGTGTTATCAACGGATTGTGTTATCAACGGATTGTGTTATCAACGGATTGTGTTATCAACGGATTGTGTTATCAACGGATTGTGTTATCAACAGATTGTGTTATCAACGGATTGTGTTATCAACAGATTGTGTTATCAACGGATTGTGTTATCAACGGATTGTGTTATCAACGGATTGTGTTATCAACGGATTGTGTTATCAACGAATTGTGTTATCAACGGATTGTGTTATCAACGGATTGTGTTATCAACGGATTGTGTTATCAACGGATTGTGTTATCAACGGATTGTGTTATCAACAGATTGTGTTATCAACGGATTGTGTTATCAACGGATTGTGTTATCAACAGATTGTGTTATCAACGGATTGTGTTATCAACGGATTGTGTTATCAACGGATTGTGTTATCAACAGATTGTGTTATCAACGGATTGTGTTATCAACAGATTGTGTTATCAACGGATTGTGTTATCAACAGATTGTGTTATCAACGGATTGTGTTATCAACGGATTGTGTTATCAACGGATTGTGTTATCAACGGATTGTGTTATCAACGGATTGTGTTATCAACGGATTGTGTTATCAACAGATTGTGTTATCAACGGATTGTGTTATCAACAGATTGTGTTATCAACGGATTGTGTTATCAACAGATTGTGTTATCAACGGATTGTGTTATCAACGGATTGTGTTATCAACGGATTGTGTTATCAACGGATTGTGTTATCAACAGATTGTGTTATCAACGGATTGTGTTATCAACGGATTGTGTTATCAACAGATTGTGTTATCAACGGATTGTGTTATCAACAGATTGTGTTATCAACGGATTGTGTTATCAACAGATTGTGTTATCAACGGATTGTGTTATCAACGGATTGTGTTATCAACGGATTGTGTTATCAACGGATTGTGTTATCAACGGATTGTGTTATCAACGGATTGTGTTATCAACGGATTGTGTTATCAACGGATTGTGTTATCAACGGATTGTGTTATCAACGGATTGTGTTATCAACGGATTGTGTTATCAACGGATTGTGTTATCAACGGATTGTGTTATCAACGGATTGTGTTATCAACGAATTGTGTTATCAACGGATTGTGTTATCAACGGATTGTGTTATCAACGGATTGTGTTATCAACGGATTGTGTTATCAACGGATTGTGTTATCAACGGATTGTGTTATCAACGGATTGTGTTATCAACGGATTGTGTTATCAACGGATTGTGTTATCAACGGATTGTGTTATCAACGGATTGTGTTATCAACGGATTGTGTTATCAACGGATTGTGTTATCAACGGATTGTGTTATCAACGGATTGTGTTATCAACGGATTGTGTCATCAACGGATTGTGTTATCAACGGATTGTGTCATCAACGGATTGTGTTATCAACGGATTGTGTTATCAACGGATTGTGTTATCAACAGATTGTGTTATCAACGGATTGTGTTATCAACGGATTGTGTTATCAACGGATTGTGTTATCAACGGATTGTGTTATCAACGGATTGTGTTATCAACGGATTGTGTTATCAACGGATTGTGTTATCAACAGATTGTGTTATCAACGGATTGTGTTATCAACGGATTGTGTTATCAACGGATTGTGTTATCAACGGATTGTGTTATCAACGGATTGTGTTATCAACGGATTGTGTCATCAACGGATTGTGTTATCAATGTTTTTAATATATCAGTTACATTATATTATCTAATTTTATTTTTTTAGTAAATACTTATTAAGTAAAGTTATCAAGTATCAAACTTTTCAATCTTTTTTTATCTATTTGGACAAATTTTTGATGAATAGATTTTTTTAATGAACTATATCAAGGGTATATATATATAGTGAAAAATATTATAAAAACAATTTCAACGTTTAATTACCATTCACTGTATTACTACAAAGATACAAGATTAACTGTAATTACAAAAAATTTTATATAATTTCTTCTACCATAAAACTAACATCACATTATTAAAAATAATATGTATACATATGTAAACATAAACTTTAAACATATTTTATTACCTAATTTTTCCTTGACTTGATAAGGTATCTAAAAAATATAAAGTTAACACTTTTATCTTGAAACTATTTTAATCATAAAAATTGAAAAGTTAAAAAGTAATTTATATAATGGTCCTATATTATGATTTGTTTAATAAAAATTCTTGAATGGTTTGCATTATTTATTTTTTATGTATTCTCTAAACATTATAATGTTTAAATTTAATCATTTTTTATTTAATAATATTATAATATAAACTAAAAATTAAAGCATTTTTTATGTAATAATACATATTTCAAAATAAAATAAAATAAAATAATTGAATAATCTATTTATGGATGCTTCTTGCCCTGGTTAACCTTTTTAATGAATGATTAAAAGGTATTTAAGGATGAGTAACATTATTATGATTGTGCCAAAGCACAGAATATCTAATACCAACACACAAAAAAAAAAGTAAGGATTCGATATTTTAAAAACTTTCGAATTGTATCTGGAATCATATTTTAAATCGGATTCGATTCGAAACTTCGAAGCTTTGCAGGACCCTAATATATATATATATATATATATATATATATATATATATATATATATATATATATATATATATATATATATATATATATATATATATATATATATATATATATATATATATATACATATATATATATATATATATATATATATATATATATATATATATATATATATATATATATATATATATATATATATATATATATATATATATATATTAGGGTTTTATGTAACCCCCAAACGACAATGATGACAGCGCACTTAACCACTTTTAATTATATGTGTTAAGTATAAAATCTTTCAAGAGCTTTTAATTATATGTGTTATATATTAAATCAAACATATTTATAAATCTCTTATAAGCCCTACATACGCGCAAAAGGTAACAATAAATAGGTATAGAAAGAATTGGTGTGGAATAGATAAGTATAGAAATGGTAGGTTTAAAAAAGATCTGTATTTTATGGATCCAGAAAACTGGAATATATATAGGGTTGAAAATTTCCGGAAAATTTCCGGAAATTTTCTGGAAATTTTCTGGAAATTTTCCGGGAATATTTGCTTCAATTTTCCGGAAATTTTGAATTTTTATTTTTAATTTACTACTATGTATTAAAGAAATTGCAAAGAATTAAGCATCAAATCTCTTAAAAATGAGATAACTGTCATTTTTTTTTGCTTAAATACATAAAAACTAAAAACCACAAGACATTTCGGAGAAAATTTAAATTTTAAGTTTATTTAAAATTTCTAAGTCGTTTAAAATCTAATAAAAAAAGAAATTTATTAAAAACATGCTACCTCTATAGGCACAACATCTTTTTATATATATATACATCTTTCTTTAAGTATTTAATAGGGTTGGAATTTTTTTACAAAAGCTTATTAATACCTGTAATATATACACAAAAACTGCATAAAATTGAATGCTGACAAAACCAAGTTCATACTTACCGGAAAAAAGCAAATTAAAAACCGCACAATATCGAACAAATAAAACTTCACGATAAATTAAGTCATCTAGGCTTTATATGGGACACCTTTCCTAAAATCCGGGCAGTAAAACAAACTTTAATTCAATCTGGAATCCATTTTGTTCACCCAAATTCCTTTGTCCAGTTATATAAAACTTTGGTTGTTCCACTACCTTATGGTCTAAGCTTTGTGAACATAAAAAAATATTAATGCAAAAGCTTGATATAGCTGGAAGAAACGCACTGAAGTCACTCCTTAACGTTTTAAAACATTGCATAAATTTTATTCATCTCTTATTTTTTATTGAGTATGTATCAATAATTACACAACAAAACAAGCTAAACTTATTTATTCACCTGAAGAGCAATAAAATGACATTTAATATTGTAAAGTAGCAGCTGAAAAACAAAACAGCTTCAGAACCTTTTTTAGGTAGTGTCAAAGGTTTGTGCAATAGTCATGAACTAAATCTAGAGAAAATAATGCAAAGTAAAAAAAAAAATCATTGACTTAATAGATGTAATTCCTGAAACGGATCTTCAAACTCTAAAATGAGCAGTTGAGTTCTGGAACTCAAAGGAACAAAAAAACAATCTTCAAGGACATTCTTGAAAAAAAAATTCCTAGATGATCATGTTTGAATGAAAATCTTGATGAAAAAAAAAAAAACTTTAAGATTTTTCATTTATCCTGAACTAAACTTTAATTTAGCTTACTTGTATAGTGGGTTTTTAACTAATAAATAAAAATAAAAAAATAATTTTATATATATATTTTATTTAAACTCCCCAACTAGACTATTATAAAAAAATAGCATGTTTTTGCAAACGTTAATGCTTAGCCATTTTCATGGTATGTGAAAGCCAATACTATCTTCACTTGAATACTCACTATCGTATTCGTTATCATCATAATCATCATCATCATCATTATCGATTGATAAGCAGCTGTGATTTTTTTGGCTTTTTTCATCAATGTTTTTTGTTTTTAAACATGAATGTTTTATCTTTTTAGAATTACGTTTAGCCAATTTATTCTGCATTTTCAAATTATAAGCAATAAATAAAAGCTTTGAT